TGCAAATGCGTTAATGACACAGACTTTACTCCCTGCACAGAATTAACTGCGGACGGATCCGACACCTGAAGGTTCAGTGCCAAGTGCAGAACTTTTAAAAGACACTAGGGTGATCAGGGCTCTGCAAGTTAGCAAATCTGCCTTCCCTGCCACAGTTTTTACTGAAAGAAATGAAGAAAATGATCACCATGCCTTGCATGGTGACTAGGATATTTCCCCACAAAGGCTCACTCTCCCCCATGCTCTGTGAAGGTGCAAACCCCAGTGCTAAATCACTCAGAGGTCCTGCTGCTGCCTGGGAGTTGCAGAGACCTCAGGGGACCAAATGGAATCACTCCAGACACCGCACACTGACAGCATATACACAGCCCTGGGGGGCACCCCACACTGCCACGGCAGCTTCTCCTCACATGGGACGGTGGACCCTCACTCACCATGGCGGATTCCGTGCTCACATGCTCTCCTCATGGATCCCAGCCACCAGTCACAGCCCAGCACACAGAACAGGAGATCCACCTTTAACCACTGAGCCACAGAGGATGCTGCAGGGCGGACCGGAAGTGCCCTCCCCATTCTGATTGGCAGTGCATCTGGAGGTCCTGACTGGCTACTGAGGTCTGAGTTATCTGAACAGCTCCCTTAAGGACAGTGCTGTGAAGTGAGGGAGCCCAATGATTGGCAGCCCTGGCTTTCACCCCAGGCACAGAACAGCCCCAGATGTGCAGAGATTGACATTCATGCAGAACTTGGGGCTGGACTGCAAAGTCTTCCCTGAACTATTCCTTTCCTCAGGAGGACTCATTTCTAGGGAATTAGGTTTTGCTATGAACTGAGAAAGGACAAAGGAAACCTGCCACTTTCTGAACTAACAATACGTCAGGTGTGCTGTAGAAAAGGTGCTATGATTTCTTTTGTAAAAATATATATATATATGATTAAAAAACAACTATACACTAATATGCACACTCTTGAACAGTTATTCTGTAGAAAAGGCCCATCAGTATAAATACAGGATTTAGAGAAGTAAACCCTATGAAATCAGAGTAAGCTTTTTCCCTATATGTATATTTACTAGAGAGCCTCAATACTCTAATGACTAATTCATATATAATTTATATATTTATTTAAATAATAATAAATATATATTTTTATATACTTACATAATATATATATATATATATATATATATATATATTATTGCCCATTTGACATAGGATTCTACTGTGGTGATATTGTGTCCCCCAATATATTGTGCATCCTAATAAACTTATCTGGGATCAGAAAACAGAACAGCCACTAGATAGACATAGAGACCAGAAAATGATACCACACACCCCTTTGAACCTAGCATTCCAGAGGCAGAGGTCCATCCAGATCTCTGTGAGTTCAAAGCCACACTGGAAAGAGCCATGACTTTAATCCCAGGAAGTGGTGGCACGAAGCACAAAGGTATATAAGGCATGAAGACCAGGAACTAGAGTCTTCTTTAAGCTTTTAGCTTTCAGCAGCAGATCAGCTGAGATCCATTCGCATGAGAACTCAGAAGCTTTCATTCTTAGGAAACAAGATCAGCAGAAGAATTGGCAAGGTGAGGTAGGATGTGGCTTGTTCTGTTTCTCTGATCTTTCAGCAGTCACCCCAATAATTAGCTCCCTCTTTGTTTTTAGTAATATGACCTTTTAATATTTGTATTACAGTCTACAGATTGTTTTCTCTTACTTCTGCATCTTTAGTGAAAATAAGTAAAGCAAATTAAGTATACTTATTTTTACATCACGCTTCTATTGTTTCTTTTTCTTTATGAGGGTCTCACTCTGCAGCCCTGACTGGACAGGAACTTGATCTGCTGACCAGACTGGCCTAAGAATCAAAAAGAAAAGTTTGCATCTGCTGTAGAGTGCTAGATTAAAGGTCTGCTCCACTCTGCATGACTTCTAGTAATTCTGCACAGTTACTAATGAAATAAACAGCAGCTGTTACGATTCAGCCTCAGATCCTGTCAGTTTGCTTCCCTCACCAACTCCACACCTCCACTTTTGGACCGGAACCTTGACAGAGATGGACTCTGGCAATAAAGTCCTGGGCAAAGAGGTTTTATAAAAGGGAGAATGAGAATTTTCTCCTGGACACATCTTGGCCCCAAAGACCAAATGGTTTTCTACACCATTAGACTTCCATGCCAGCCATGGATCTTTGGGACTTCTCCTTTCACAGGATCTGACTGAAACTCAGAAATCTTCTCCTGATCCTTTAGTTAATGCTTAAATGAATGCTTAAATTCATGGTATATGAACTAATGGAGCAAATTTCATGATTTTGAACTATATCATTGGGTGTGCTTGAATGAGAAAAAGAATAAAAAGAAAAGAACATGAGTGCTCCTAAGTATGGTGGAGGAGAAAGTTTATTGCAGTTGTGTGGGAGAGCATAGTCTGAGGCAGGGATATCTGAGGGAGTCTAGAGTGTTTAAGACCAGACTGAGCTGAGTCATGTGGAGAGAGTGGGAGGGAAGGGAAGATATGGGAACCAGGTGGAACAGTCAGGAGGCCAAACATACAAAAGAGACAGGTGACCAAAATGTCTAAATTACATATAGAAGAGCCTCTGGGGGAAGGATAGCCCAGCCTCTTGTCAGGGGAGTTCAGGGTAGGGGGTTCAGTATGCCAACCAAACCCTGAAACAGATACAGACTGAGGGATTCTGGGAGAAACTGGTGACCAAATCCAGATTTACAATGATAAACAGTCACCTCAGGTATTTGTCACAAGCTTGAAACTTAACATCCCAGCCTTTTGTTGATAGAAAATCAGGCAGCAGTTAGAGCAGCCTGCAGCATTTGATTCCTTAGAAATCTGCTGGAAGAGACACATATTAACAACAGAAGATAAAGCTGAGGAGGTTAGGGGGAAATTTGTTTCTTAGGTGTCCATTTGAAACCTTTAGGTCCACAGTCCTTGTCACTCTGGGAGGGGAGTCCCAAGACCAGAGAAAGGGGAAGATTCCACCCTCAGGAATAGTCAGGTGAGGAAGCAGGCCATTGATTGACAAGAGTGCATGTTTGGAGTCCATTTGACATGTGAGGGGTGGATGGAAGTAAATGACCTGAAGCTTAAAAGACGTCTTAAAATTTATATAAAGAGGCACAAGTTTTAGATATGTTAGCATTACTACTATCTGTAATATGTATTAATATGCACATTGTAGGAAGCACAGTAAACTCATGCCCTGATGTCATGTCAAAAGCTTGGGGATCCAAAATGATTCAGGGTTAAAAGCATGAATACTCTTTAAGGTGATCTCAGAGAGCACAGGAACATTCTGTGGAGCAGAAGAGCAATAGCTCACTTGATCTTGATTTTATATATGACAAAAAGAGGGGTCTCTTCTC